CAGTTATTAAAGCTGAAGTGTCTGTCTTCATCTAGAGATATGTTTTGTGCTTTTGGAGGATGAGGTGAATTGGTATATCGTCACTAGCTACTGCTGTTTTTGTTTGTAATAATAATAATATTGAGGAAACGTCTTCCTGCATTTTGTTGATCTGAAATGCGCTTATAAATTCGTACACCATCCGTGCTTCTGTGACCTGTTCTTTTCATGATTAATTGTTCATCAACACCAGCTTGAAATAGTCTAGTAGCAGCAGTCATGCCGCAAAGTGAGTGGTTTGTTTGTAACCATTGATTCCCCAGTTGCTGCAGCAAACATTTTAAACAGTATTTCTCCATTAAGAACAGTGGCCTGGTTGGAGCTTCTCCAAATCTTTCATTCTTTCCTTGCACCAGTCATTCAGAATATTTTCTACCCATTATATTGCTTTTTTTAGTTGTGCATGGCGCACAGTGCTGTTGTGCATCTTCCGTTGCGAAACAAGATGGTATAGAGCGGTTTCAGTGACGTCACTTTTAGACGTCATAATTACTTCCGTATGGCAAAAATTAATGAGCCTCATTCGTTTACAGCAGTAAAGTTGCTTCTTCTACAGCTTCTTTCATACAGCACAAGGCAGAAAAGAAGTAAAGTTATAGCATTAGTGAGCAGAAAAGTAGCGATAGCAATAATTATAGCAGTAACAAGACAAGACTGTGTTCACTTCAGCCGCTTCACTGGTTCTCTATCTGAGGACTTTTTGCTTCCTTTGCATCCCTGAGTCCAGGAAAATGAAAGAACAGCATGAATTAGCCATGCTCATAGTTACAGAAGCCTGCCAGAAGAGTTTATAGCGCTGTATAAATGAATGGCAAAGTAGCCATTTTGCCATACGGAAGTAATTATGACGCATTCCGTGACGTCATATGAAACCGCTCTATATAGCACTAATGAAGTAGGCGGGCAGTCATAAAATGATGAGATAGGCGTTTCCAGAGCTATCATAATCATTAATGGCGGCTGTGTTAGTCGCATCTTTTGAGAACAGACGAGCATGTCTACCTAGTTGCTTTTCCATTCTAGTGCGTGACTTAAAATGAATTGGTTGCTAATGGTAAGGATTTTTATACTTTTTGTGTATCCTAGCTACAAGAAATGCATCTAATCTGATTGGACGCATGGTAGAA